GTAAACACGGTCCAGACTTTCTTTTCATTGTCTAGCGCTTCTTGGTATGAGCATTCGGCCAAGAAATCCGCTAGAGCTTGAGCCTTAATGGCAGCCCTCGGACGGTAGCTGATGCTGAATTCGGTGAGCTCAAAAGCCCACTTGGCTAGTCTACCAGATTTTTCAACCTTGCCGAGAACTTTTTCCAACGGCTGATCAGTTAAGACCACTATCTGATGGCAATCAAAATAGGGCCTCAGCTTCCGAGCAGCTACTACTATCGCGAAAGCGACTTTCTCGAGTAGAGGGTAGCGAGTCTCGGCATCCGTCAGTGTATGACTGACAAAATAGATCGGTTGCTGACTTTTGCTTTCTTCCTTCAGCAGTACTGCACTGATGGTGGCTGGGCTAACGGCCACATACAGGTACAAAGTTTCTCCTTTTGCTGGGCTAGCCAGCGTTGGGAGTTGAGCCAGATGCTCCCGAAGCTGTTTAAAGGCGTATTTTTGCTCTTCCTCCCAAACGAGCTCTTTTGTTTTCGGGAGTTTCAGGGCTTTGAATAAAGGTAACCCCTTATCCGAAGCTCTGGAAATGAACCTCGAGAGGGCTGCCATTCTTCCGGTGAGCCGCTGAACATCCCGCTTTGTCTTCGGCTCAGGAAGGTCGAGCGCCGCTTTGACTTTAGAGGGATTGGCATCAATCCCCCTTTTGCTGACCATGAAACCCAGGAATTTCCCTGACTTCACGCCGAAGACACACTTCTTCGGATTCAGCTTCATTTGATGCTTTCTCAAGGTGGCGAAAGTTTCAGCCAGGTCCTTTACATGGTCCTCTAGTTTTTTGCTTTTGACGATTGAATCGTCAACATAGACTTCCATGTTTCGGCCCTTTTGATCGGCGAAAACTTGATCCACCAGCCTTTGATAGGTTGCCCCCGCATTTTTCAATCCGAAGGGCATCATTTTGTAATTATACACCCCAGCGTTCGTGACGAATGCTGTCTTGGCTCGATCGTCGGGGTGCATGAAGATCTGATGATACCCCGAGAATGCGTCCATGAAACTAAGCAAGGCATGGCCAATTGTCGAATCGACTAGCTGGTCGATCCTCGGCAAGGGATAGAAATCCTTCGGACAAGCCTTATTTAGGTCCGTGAAGTCAACGCACATCCTCCAGGTACCATTGGCCTTCTGAACCATCACCACATTTGCCAGCCATTCTGGATATTGGCAAGGCTCGATGAAGCCTGCCTCCAGCAACTTTTTGTCCTCGGCTGCGATTTCTCGGTTCTTATTAGCGGAGTAATTCCGCTTCTTTTGCTTAATTGGTCGACACGTTCGGTCAACATTAAGCTTATGGGAGATGAGGTCTGGACTTATCCCGGGCATATCAGCTGCCGAGAAAGCAAACACATCTCTGTTGTCCCGAAGGAGCTGAATAAGTTCACAACGGGTGTTCGGATCAAGGTCCATCACGATTGTTACACATTTCTTAACGTCTCCTTCGGCCAACTGAACTGTTTCAGTCTGTTGGTCCATATCCATTGCTGATGGACTGGACTCTTCAGAATCTGGCCTGCTGCCTATGTCAGCAGGTGTCCTAGTCTTTTTGTTCTTCGGCTGGCTCTTTGAGTCTTTCGGTTCAGCTGAAGAGCTAGCCTTTTCCCTTTCGGGCCCTTTTTCTCTGGGTACAGATCCTTGGGCCGAAGCACTTAGGCCTTTCGGCTTTTTTGTGCTTGGCTCTCTTTCTTTTTCTTTCTCCTCCTCATCCTTGTCGTCATCTGGGCGACTACTGGATGGCTTGAGGTAGTTGCACCTTCGGGCGTCCTTTTGGTTGCCCTGTATCCTTTCGGGGAAGCCAGCGTCTGAGACGTAAATCATCAGCTGATGATAGGTTGAGACGACCCCTTGGATCTCATGAATTATGGGTCTCCCCAAAATCACGTTGTACACTGAAGGAGCGTCAATGAACAAAAATTCAATCATGACATTCCTGGCTGCTTCATCGCAGCCGATGGTGACAGGAAGTGTCACCTTCCCATCTGGATAAGTTGAAGCCCCGTTGAACCCGGATACCGAGTAGGGTACCGGCGTAAGGTGCTTGGGCTTCAGCTTGATTTGATTGTAGGCCTTTCGGAACAGAATGTTTGCTCCGCTGCCACCGTCAACAAGGACCTTACTGACGTCGTGGTTGGCCACCGTGGCGATGATCACCAACGGATCCTCGTGAGGGAACGTTACCACTCGGCAGTCGGCGGCTGTGAACGTCATGTTCGGCACCGGCGACTGGGGAGACTGAATGTCAGCGTTGTTCACCTGGTGAGTCAAAGCCCTAAGGTGTCGCTTGTGCTCCCTCCGAGAGCATATTCCTCCCGAGATAACATTAATCGGAGAGAATTTTCCCTCTGGGTTTTTACTGTTCTTCCGGGGGAAGTCGAGGTCTTGCCGAAAGTCCTTTGCTGACTTCTCGGATTCTTTTTTCTCGCGGTAATCCGCGATGTATTTTTTCAAGTATCCCTTCCGGGCCATGTCCTCTATCTGGTCCTTCAGTTAGATACACTCCTCAGTGTTATGTCCCGGAGATTCTTGGAACTCGCACCAATGATTTTTATTTTTTCGCTGATACCTCTCTGGGAGTGATCTCCTCCTTCGTCACGCTGTAAATTTTGGCGCGTGGAAGAGAGAGCTGAGTGTAGGACTCGTATCTGCCTGTGTATGAGGCAGATTTTTCCTTCTTTGGGTCGCTGGCCGAAGATTGCTCCGAGGCCTTTGACTTTCCCTTTGCCTTATGGCCTTGGCCTTCAGACAAGGGTATTTGTTTTTGTTTCCCTCCCCCGAATTGGGGTTGGGTTTTCGCTTTGTTCCATTCTTCGGCTCGGATGAACTTATCCGAGGCATTCAGAGCTTCCTCCAAGGTCTGCGGGGTATGCATGACCATGAAGTCTAGGAACTTCCCGGGCTGAAGGCCATTCTGCATTGCAAAAACGGCTAGTCCCTGGTCCAGCTGAGAGACGCTGGATGACTCGTTGCTGAAACGGGTCAGATAGTCTCGGAGGCTTTCGGTTTCCCCCTGTTGCAGACTCATGAGTTCTGCAGTAGTCTTCTCTCGGCGGTTTGCCGTGGAAAACTTGCTCCTAAATTTGGAGGACAGATCATCCCACCCTGTTATAGAGCCTTGCTTTACTCCCTTGGAGATCCATGCTTGCGCGACCCCCTTGAGAGTGGTTGGGAAATATTTGCACCAAGTCGCTTCGGATCTGGGGCAAAGATGCATATGAGCCTCATACGAGGCAATGTGGTCCTTCGGATCCGAAGTTCCATCATATGTGATGTGCGACGGTATTTTAACCGTGGGCACGTGCTCTTCCAGTATCCACTGCTCGAATGGCGAACTGGCGGGTAGCATAACGGCCTTGCCCTTGTTCCTGGCCGAAGGGACCGCGCTCCGCCCTCTTAGAGAGGTAGGAGTGGTTTTCGTCCCTGGCTGGGAAGTTTGGGCCTCGGCCGCAGGGAACGAGAGGCGACTGTGCACGCTCGGTTCCTTGCCGTCGAGTCGGTCGAGGACGCTTCGGCGAACAGTCTCAGGTTGTTCTCGGTGAGTAGATTCTGGCCGAGAAGCTGAGCTGCTGCTCTTATGCGTTTCTGGTCGGGAGGTTGAGGATCCTTTGAAAAATTGAGGGTTCTTTTTCCTCTCTTTTTCAGTTTTCCAGGTATCCTCTTCCCACTCTTCCAGTTCCCGGAAGGAAGGAAGCTTCCCACCATCATGGTCTAGCTTCCTCCGCTGATGCCGGGTATGCGGAGGATTTCGATCACGAGGTGGTGGCATATTTTGTGCCCTCATTGCCTCCATGAGCACTGCCAGCGCTCTTGCCACCTCCTCCGAGCTGGGCCTCGTCAAAAGGGTCCTTGGCCGAGTGTGGGAATGAGAGCGCACAGTCGATGGTTGGCTTTGGGGCATTGAATGTGTCCTATGATCGGACTCACCCCTGCTAGACCGAGAGTGACTCGGCCTATGATGAGAGTTATGAATTACGGGAGAGAGGGAATCCTCCCTGTATGATCCTCCCCCCGAGCTGGCACCCTTGGGAGAGTTCCGGTCCGGTGAGGGTGATGGAGTAGGGGTTTTAGGCTTTTCGCCTGCTCCTTGACGGAGGCCTTTGCTCTTGCGGTTCTTAGCCGTTGCTACTAAGATAATTGCAAGATGATCTTGGTTAGAAATTTGGCTTAAAGATTTTTTTGAAAGTCTTCCCCATAGACGGCGCCAAATTGTTTCGGGTGAAAACAATGGGACCTTGTCGAAGGTCCGATCAAGTGGAGAAGACTGGATTCGGTCCAAGTGATGTTGGGTCGAAGGTTTCCTGCACAGTAAACACACGTAAACTAGCCTCGGGGGTGTTGCCGAAGAAGGCCCCTCCGATGCTAAAGTCAGTACAGTGTGTAGAAAGAGAACACTATGCAAGAGAATTAATTGCTTGAGGCTTTTAATTGGATCATTTAATGACTAGGCCCAATTGGACTAAATTGGACCCAAACAGTAGTGATGCTCCCTAGCTTTAGGGTCATTATGGGGCCATAAATCTTTGAAAGCTCGGCGACAGCACGATGAGGTTTGTCCCCGAGCTTAAGAATGTTGCCTATGATAGGCCATGGTGTTGGCCCTGGAGGAAATTTATTGGATTTGCTAAGCAAATTTTTTAGGAAAGTAATAGTGGTTACGACCATGAGGAGGAACAAGGCAATGGTGGTGTAATATTGTTCCATTGATAGCAGAAATGTGATGTATGACAATCTAACACGGCAAAAAGTTTCATAAATATTGACAAAAATATTTTAGGGACTTTATTACATGTAGCTGAAAACTACCATATTTTTATAGTTATAATTAATGAAGATGACGAATAGAAGAATCGTGAAGATAAGGAGTGCAGAAATCTTATAGGCAAGTGTGTGGATGTGAACAATATGATCATGATCTATTGGGAGTTTGGGACCATGTACTTTTTTCGTATTCAATAATTCAATAACACAATTATTACACAAGTCCACTTCTTAAATTTTCAAATATTTCTCCACTTTAAATTATTTAAATAATATTTTAGATTAAAATTTTCAAAATAACACGTGTTGTAGTTTAAATGAAACAAAGAAGTACAATTAAATAAGTACAATAAAATCGATCACATAATTTCTTGATTAAGATGTTATAACAATCATCTACAAATTGGAATAGCCTGAAGTGGTTTGACTTTTTGCAAAGTAAGCCCGAACTTTTCTTCCATGTCTATGTCTTGAGGACTTGCTCCATGACCGGTCTTCCAATTGAATGAATGAAGAAGAGTAGCCAACATCAGATGTGTCATCCTATAAGCAAGTGGCATTCCAGGACATATTCGTCTTCCACTACCAAAGGGAATTAACTCAAAATATCGTCCTTTGAAATCAATTTCTCTATCCAAAAACCTTTCCGGAGAAAACAATTCAGGATTTGGCCAAACATTTGAATTGTGGCCAATCGACCATATATTGACCCATATAGTTGAGTTTTTAGGCACTATAAAATTGTGTAGTTGTTCTTCCTTCTCAGCCTTGTGAGGGATTAAAAATGGGGCAGGTGGATGCAATCTAAGAGTTTCTTTCACGATTGCTTGTATATATAGTAGTTTTGATATATCTGATTCTTGAACAGATTCATCCTTCCCGATTACTTTTTCCATCTCTATTTGAGCCTTTTGATGCACTTCAGGATTGCGTAATATTTCAGTCATCGCCCATTCTAATGTGCTAGATGTTGTATCTGTTCCCGCAACAAACAAATCCTAAGCACAAAAGCAAATACATTGTTGTGAATTCATTAGTAAACATTTTACTCCATCATAATTTTTTAATTTTTACAAAAAGGGTAAAAGTGTTGCATACCACCATTTTATAATTGGACACATTTTCCAATCTAACACACAAATTTGATAATAAAACATTTAATTATGAATTATAAGATTAGTTTAAGTTGACATTTCTAAAATTTATTTTGAGAAAAATGTTACATCAATAACAATTTGATTTTACATAGTGTTATAAAAATGTAAAAAGTGATGTATGTGAATATTGTCAAAATCAAACTAGGACTAACATGTGTTACAAAAATGTAAAAAGTAATGTAATATTGTCAAAATCAAACTGGTACTAACTTTTAAAAACACACACAAATCAAATATATACTTCGGAAGGTAAAACATGACAATTATTTGCAAAAATTTAACTTGAGATTAAAAAAGGTCATTATATTTCATACCACGAGTAGATGTTTGACTTCATCAAGGCTCAATTCATTGTTCTCAACAAGCTTGAGTAAGGTGCCTAGAACATCATCCTTAGCATTTGTTGGATCTTTCAACCTCTCATCAATAATTTCCTCAAAAATTCTCATCAATTTTTTGAAGTAAACCTTAGTTGTTTTCAACACTCCTTGCAAATCCAAGCGCTTAATCAATGGGAAAAAATCCGACACATTAGGCTTAGCACACAAATCTAATAGAATCCAAACAAGATCTTTAAACTCTTGCGATTTCGAAGAGCTATGGCTCGCCAAATCCATCGAAAAAAACGTGTTTGACAACAAATTTAGCGAGGTAGTAAACCCCGCCATACCAATATCGACTGGCAGACCCTTGTCACAACATTGTTGTGCATACTCAACTAGCTCTTTCACCTTCTTGTGTCGTGTATCCTGACTCGTATCAAGTCGTTGATTGGTGAACAATTGCATAGTTGCAACCTTCCGAAGGCTCCTCCATTTGGGGCATATTGGGAGAAAAACCATAGAGAATTTGAAATGGTTTTCAGCCTTCGCAACATCCGGGACATTCCTACTAGAAAAGGCTAAGTCATGGTTAAGGAACATTTCTTTAGCAATTTCCGGGGATGATATAACTATTGTAGTTTTACTCCCTAACTTAAGACTCATTATGGGTCCGTAGACTTTTGCAAGCTCGGCGACAGCACGATGAGGTTTGTCGCCGAGCTTGAGAATGTTGCCTATGATAGGCCATGGTTTTGGTCCTGGAGGTAGTTTGGATTTACCAAACAATATTTTTGAGATTTGGATGGTGGTGATGAGGATGGTAAGGAGTAGTAGTAATGTGGTGTAATATTCCATGTTTTTTTTAAGGTATAATTTCGAAGATATAACGTGCTCCTATTTATTAAGAAGCTACTCCGATCCATACTTTGGAGTTTGGAAGTACGGAGTAACATGCAAATCAACGTGGCCGTTGGTCCAATTTGTATTAAAATATTGGGAAAATATTTGGTAATGAAATAGGCTCCGTGTTAAACAATAATATAAAAAGAACATTCAAATCCAACTTACCGGCTGAATTATACGCTCGTATAAATTATTAAATTTTATTAACACGTAATAATGATTAATTGTAGAAAAAAAAAATCAGAGGACTAAACCTAATTTATCAAACACGGTGTTCTCGAGTAAGAATATATAAAATATTTGTGTCAAAATAAAAAAGAATATATAAAATACATTCATTCATTCTTGTCATTTGTGATTATAAAATTTTGAGTCCATTCACTTCATGTGATTCATTTTATAAATATATATAAGTGCACCCTTTTGACTGAGAAAACACCACTTGATTGAGAAAACGCGTTTATTAATAGGAAATTTTGTAAAAAAATCATCCACTTAAAACACATTTTTGTGAAAAAACACCCACAATAAAAAATGTTGTAAAAAAACACCCAAACAAAAAAAATGTTTCAAAAAGCCACCTATTGTCAGAAATAGGTTGTTGACCATATTTTTCAGCGTTGACCACTTGACTGCCCTCCCTTGGTTTTGGCCACCCGTCCCAACCCCTTAAAAACCCCTAGAATTCACCGAAAAACATCCGATCGCCCTTTCCCCTCCCTCTTGAAAACCTTTAAAATTCACTTGAAACAATCAAAAACCCTAGTGGTCGGAGTGATTTTCGAGGTGGAGGGAGAGTGAATATTAGGGGTTTTCAAGGGAGGAGTGAATATTAGGGGTTATTGAGGGGGAGGGGGAGGGGGAGGGGCGGCCAAACTTTTCCGGTGAATTCTAGGGTTTTCCAGGGGTGGGGAGTGTGGTTAACACTGAGGGAGGACGACAATAACCTGTTTTCAACAATGGGTGGCTTTTTGCAACTTTTTTTTAGTTTGGGTGTTGTTTTACAAAATTTTTTTATTGTGGGTGGTTTTTCATAAAAAAATGTTTTTATTGGGTGGTTTTTTAACAAAATTTTCTTATTAATATATACATAAGTGCATTTCATAAATATATATAAGTGCAACCTTTTGAAGTATAGGTTTGACCATTAATATTATGGTCAAATAGTAGTAAATACTAAATACAAATTAAAGTATTATAGAAAGTCCATATATTACACAAAAATATTATGATGACATACCAAAGTATATTATTAAACCAATGACATATTACACTTTTTTTTGGAAAAAAAAAAATAATAATGCAAAAAAATCAAATTGCTGAAAAAAAATTCACAGAAGGAATCATAAATTCATAACCAATACTCCGTAATAAATACATACTACGAAGTACAGATTATAGGGGAGGTGATTTGTGATTTTTTTAAAGGGGAGGTGATTTGTGATTTTTTTAAAGGGGAGGAGAAGAAAAAAAACACTTCTCCTAGCTAGGACTTATTATTTGGAAGGCAATCCAAAGACGAACAAGCTAAGTGCTAAACTATGAATCACGATCTTCATTCGATGCTTGGCTTCGTGGACTAGCCCGACCTGAGTTTAGACTGAAGAGTTCTAACAAAACCCTTCACATTGTTGTTAAAACCCTCTTCAATCTGCATAAATTATGAAAGTATACAAAATTAAGTTAAATGTAATTATGTAGCCGTAAGTATGTCTAAAAATTTTCCATACATGCATTGCATGTTTACCAAATTAACTTTAGACTTTCTTCTTTTTTTTTTTTTATTTATAAGTAATGAAATAAATTACTTTAAGGGTCTGTTCTTTTTACCTTATTTTCAGTTCAGTTCAGCTCTAATAAGTTTGGTTTAGTATCAAAACAAGCCCTAAGTATTTAAAAGCGGAAGGATTAGTTCTAGAGCCACGACTTGTTCAGTTTACATTTTACTCGTACATAATACATATATGCTCATATAACTTAGGAAAATGTTATTAATTCCTTTTTAAAAAAAAAATAGAGAATGTAAACGTAGCATGCATTAATTAGGAAAACAAAATGAGGTGGTAATAAGATAAGGGGGATTGAATTACCTGTGCAACAATGGTAATGTCTAGGGTGAACCTCTGAAATGGTATGACATAATAATTAGTAATGCTCAAATCATGCCTTTCCACCACTTCACTTAAGTCGGACAAAATCCCTTTACGATTCTCACAAAAGACTTTTAAGAGAAGGGTATCATCCAATATCTTAATTTGGATTTCTGGAAGTGATGATGAATTCTTAATAACATTATTTGTGTTATTATTGTTACTACCATCATCGTTATTGCCACCACTAGCGCTCATGACGTCAACAAGGACGGAGGAAGAACCATCGTTATCGTTATCGTTGTCGTCATTCATTGACAACTGATACTTCTTAACCACCACCGTAGACTTGGAAGTATTAAGTTGAGCAGCAGCCACTTCAAGTTGTTTTACTTTCTCTTGAAGCACTTTCATGTGTTTGATTGCGTCTCCTAAGATTGTTATTTTATCCATCTGCATCACATTTACAAATTATTACAATTAACAATAGTTAATTAATTTTTAACAATAGAAAGGGAGATATCTATCTAGCTATACAAACGTAGTTCAAAGATTGTCCCACGAGGGCCACGAGTTTCATTATAGGTAGCATGCATGGTCAAACTAGAAATTAGTAAAATAATTACCATCTAATAATTTAACAATTTTTTAGTTATGCTTTTACTTTCAATGCTAGCTAATATTTTTAATTCTATATTTTTCACTAGTTCTTTAATTAATTCTTTGAATTGCTAATTTTCTATATCTATTTTGATACACAAATGGTGCAATATGATGATACTCAATCAAGTTAACAAGCCAAGGTATATCCTTTAATTAGGTGAATAAACATGACCCCGGTATCTTTTAAAGTTACTTAACACTAACCCACAAACTCACATACGAGTATTAACTAATTCTTTGAATAGGTATGCCTTCCATATGTCTGAAGTATATAATAATTTGACTTTTATCACTATAATATTAATAGTTTTACTTGACTCTTTTTTTTAAAAAACAATTTACTTGACTCTTTTGATAGTACATTATAATTTAAGAAAATTTGTGAGGAAGGTCTTTTTAAATAGACCTTTTTGTGACAAAGGACCTTTTATAAATAAAAAAAAAGTGGCACAAAAGATCCTTATATCATGTTTAGGTTGTAATGAGGGTCCTTTTACTATTTTCCGGCGTTGACTTTTTAATTTTTCGTCCAAAAAAATCACATCTAAGTTCCCTTTTTTCTCCCTCCTCTTTTCCCTCGTTTTCCCTTTTCTCCCCCTATTAAACCCTAATTTTTGAAAACAACTAACACTAAAACTTCAATTGTAATCCCATAAATTAAAATTGAAGACCATTCAAAGTAATTCAAGGCCAATCCTCCTCACAATAAGAGCTAATAGGGAAAAAAAGGAAACTTAATCAGTCATATGCTTTACACGTGGCTTTTTTTGGCTAAAAAATAAAAAAGCTAACGCCGAAAAATGGTCAAAGGACCCTCCTCAGAACCTAAACATGATATAAGGACCTTTTGTGCCACAATTTTTATAAAAGGGCCTTTGTCACAAAAAGGTCTACTTAAAAGGACCTTCTTCACAAATTTTCCTATATTTTTTTTTATTATTATTTTTTTTAAAAAAAGTAGATTTAATGTGTAATAGGTTGTTGAATTAGCTACAATGGGTGCAATTATAATATCATTTTATTAACAATACATAATTAAAGAGATTAATGGCTGAAGTCTGCATGTGTTTTTGGTCAAATTGTGACAATTAAAATAAAGGGAGTATCAACAAATCGGGTTGGAACAAACGTAATATGTTGTTGGATTAGCTAATTTTTAGGTTTTTTTTTTTTTTTTTTTTTATAATCAGAATTAGGGTTTCTGCGAGTGTTTACACATGTCGTATATTTGTATATGGTTTAAACTTTTTCAACTTCAGAAAATCCTAAAAATAAAACTTATAAAAAAAATTTAATTAAAAAATCATTAAAGTGAACCAAAACGGTTCAAAGGAAAATAAGAAATAGTTAATTTCCTTTCAAGTCAATAATTTAGCTAGTTTTGGAAATAAAAATTATAATTAGCTGTTTTAGTAAATACTTTTTGTCAAATTAGGCGTTTTGTTAAAAGATTCCATAGAGATTACAAGTACCTTTTTAAGACCAGGAATCATGGATGAGAGTGAAATGAACATATGGCTAAGAACTTCCCGTCGTTTCCTCTCAGCCAAGATGTGATCCTGCACTTGGGTTGCTTGTCTTTTCCTCCTCGGCCTACCTTCCGATCCACTCTCGTCTTGCTTCCCAACCTTACACTTCTTCGACCGTCTGGGCTCTTGGACGACTTTGTCGCCTACCAAATTTTGGACATTTTCATCATCATCGTTATTGTTGTTGTTGTTGTCGTCGTTATGGTTGTGGTTTCAGTCGGAAAAATAAGGTGGTGGCGGCGTAATGATTTGGTCGAAGAGGCTACCAATGTCCCACTGAGAATCAAAGGTGTTGTTCTCGACAGAGAGAGGATAAGAGAAGTCATCACTGAATAGTACATCAGCTAGTTGTTCATCAAAAGGTGTAACTTCTTCCATTGTTTCCGTTTGAAATAATTGAGGGTGAGAATTGTTGATTAAGGTTGGAACTAGGTCCATGTCCATTTTCCTGCATGCAAAGAGTATATATTCTGTTTCGGGTGAAAACAATGGGACCTTGCCGAAGGTCCGATGAAGTGGAGAAGACTAGGTTCGATCCAAGAAATGTTGGGCCGAAGGTTTCCTGCACAGTAAACACACGTAAACTAGCCTCGGGGGTGTTGCCGAGGAAGGCCCCTCCGATGCTAAAGTCAGTACAATGTGTAGAAAGAGAACACTATGCAAGAGAATTAGTTGCTTGAGGCTTTGCTTGAATCCATGTAAAAATGTAATATTGATGGCTTTTATACCTCTTCATACATGGAGAAGTTGGGCCTTAGCCCAATTGGCTTGCCTTGAGGACTGATCTTTGACTTTAGCACAATTGGAGAGATGAACCTTGACCTTGGGCTTTTAATTGGATCATTTAATGCCTAAGCCCAATTGGACTAAATTGGACCCAAACAACTTGCCCCCCAGACCCGATTTGGAAGGATGACGGGTCGGGTTTGATTTAATCAGAAAAGGAGGGAAGTGAATGATTTAATTAATCCAAAAAATTTGAATTTAAACCGTAATTAATGAGATAACAACGGTTAAGGCGGATGATTGTGGAAGTTGGACGGATAATGGGCAGTTTAATCGCAAGGTCGTGTGTTTAAGGGTTACTTAGTGGGGTATTTAAGAGAAATTGAAACGCGGACTCCCCGAATTCCCATTTCTGGAGATATAATCAGAGGCGCGTCATCTCTCCTCACTTATTCACCAACACAAACCCAGAATTCTCGAGAGAACCCAAGAACCCGCATCAAAACTTCGCAAATTCCCCGAGCATTAAGCTTAGAAACTGAGACTTGCCACTACGAATTCGTAAATCGACAACTTTCGCTTCAGATTAAGGTAAATTCCCTTGATTTTAGTTTATTTTTCTTCGAATTCGAACTCCTTCCCTTTTTTTTTCGACTTTTTTCTTCGAAATTATCAATGGCGAGAGGATTTAGGGGTAGAGCCCGTGCTCCAAGAAGAGCAAGGCCAATTCCCGATCCTAGGAACAGGATTGGGACCTGGAATGGACAAAGAGGAGAGTCTGACCCTGCTGAAGGGATTAGGGCGACTCCAATTTCCTCGGCTCCTCCTCAGAGAACGGAGGGGCCGAGCGCTTCTGGGCGGGACGATGAAGTTCCCGCTGTCCTTTGGGATATCCTCCCCGGGTTTTCAGAGTGGGAGGATGCCGAAGTAGCTTCGGCGATGATAAAGAACCGCCCCTACTCATGGTGGGTGGAGAATGCCGAACAGTATCGGTTTGCCGAACAAATTGAGTTGCATTACGGCATCCTTGAAGCTGATGGGTATTGGTGCCGAATGCCCGTGGCATCCGATAGAATCCATCGTCCACCACCGGGGTATGTGGGGGTGTACACAAGACAACTTCAGTATGGGCTGAGGTTCCCTTTGGACGTATTCGTCCGAGACTTACTGATCCATTACAATATCTCCCTATGTCAGCTAACTCCTACCAGCATCCGAAGGGTGATGACATACTTATGGGTCTGCAAGTTCTTCAAGTATGTGCCGAACCTGCACTGCTTCAAAAAGCTTCATCAGCTAGTGCCAAATATTCAAAGTGGGCACGGAAGTCATGGTTCTGGGTGGTACCGGATTGAGTCTCGGCCCCAGTACCTAACCATGTGGCCGAACGACTCTTCAGACAAGGACTGGAGAGGTCAATGGATTTGGGTTAGGGCACCCACGGACCCGGGCCACCCTTGCGTCTTCAGCGCTCCCCGGTACCTTGCTGAGCCTGATCCCGACATGGGAAGCTTAGGTCCCCCCGCAGATAACGGCCCAGATCCGAACCTTAATCAACAGAATATCTTCGGCAAGCTGCCGAACCGGGGGGGCAGCGGCCGAATGCAGCATATCCCGGAGACTTGGCTCCCCGATACGCATTATGTTTTCCAAGAGAACATGCTAGCAGTTGTCGGCCTCAGCCGAAAGTTTAAGGATGGTAAGCTTCTTCGGCTGGGGCCGAGGCCTTTTAATTATCTCTTTTCCTCCTCTTTCACTTCGCTTTTTTATGATGTGCCAACCTAACTGAACTGACCTTTCCCCTTTTCTTTTTCAGAGCGGGACGAGACCAACGTCGGCATTAACTACGCTCGTCTTGGCGTCAACCGAGAACGAGTTGTAACTGATCGGGCCCCCTCTATCACTGAACCGAGGCATAGGGAAGTTCATCTAGACTCTTCCCACTTCCAAATTGAGGCGGTTGCTCTGTATCAGAGGCAGAAGCCTTGGTGGAAGAAGAGAGATCCCTGGTTTCAGCTGCTAGACGAAGAAGCTGAAGCTGCCCGTACGGCCGAAGAGGTTGCACGGGTTATTGAAGCTTGTGAAGGAGGAGAAGGGTCCTCCAGGGCTGCTGAAGAAGAGGCTGCAGCTAGGGCAGCTGAAGAAGACGAGGCTTTGCTGAAGACCTCGGTGAGGTTTTAGACTTAATTTTGTCTGTTTCTGTTTTTTGTTGTTTTTTTTTTTTTACTCACATTCTTCCTCCCCCCCTGTCTTTTACAGTCTGAAGAGAGTAACAGACACAGAGAAGGGAAAGCCCCTGTTCGTCCCGAAGACCAGATACAAGAAGAGTCTTCAGACTCAGACATGGACGAGCAGCCGCTTCAGAAAAGGCGCCGAAGAATGGCCATCATCGGCCCGCATGACTTTCAGCGGAGGCCGATGACCATCGGCGTTGAAATAAGGGAACCCGATGAAGGCAATGGATCGCCGAGGGTTCCCCGGCCACCACCTCAATCACCTCCAAAGACCCCTCCGCCACCTCCCGAGATGGAGGTGGATCAGAAAACTCCCGAATCTAAGGGAGGGGTCCAAGAAGAAGTTC